TTTATGTGCCGATCACAGAATCACGCGATATGCCTATTCGTTGTAGTGACTGACTTTTGTACTGTCGGCGTCTGATACCCAAAATGTGTGTGTTAGCCGCCTAGAAACAATGCCCTTAATTTTATGCAGTGGTTCAATACATTTTTGAGAGCGTTTTGGATTAAGCGCACGGGTGGAACCCAGAAGATGCCGCTATTATGCACGCTAGCAAAGAAAAACTATGGTTAACCGAAGGTTACCCTATAATATTTACTATGTAGGCGCACATAATGAAATAACTTGACTTGTAATGTGCTACCTTATCTGCAAAATGCAAGGCGCAGAATGTGCGCCACTTTTCATTTGCAGACCAAGGAATTTAAGGGGAGTGATGCCTGTTATCTTCGTGTGTAATATGATGAGGGACACTGTTGGTTTTGGGCTTTGCTATAGCCGTAAACACAATTAATTCCTATTCGACTCAGCTCTCCAATGGGCGGGTTGTGTTTCTAAGGTGTCAGAGTAATCATTCCTAATGTCGTGTTTGGCGCTCTCATTAAAAACCGCGTCGTCAGACCGCCTAACTTACTGTTATTTTTGGCCAGAATTTTCCAGCCAACGAAGCCTCCCATGTGTGTTTCGAAGACATTTGCTCCAGGATTGCCCATTCGTATCTGAATGCGTTTGCATGGGCATTGTAGTTGAGTAATATTATCAACAGTAAGTAACGTCAACTTGACCCCGGGTTTTGCACAATGCCTTTCTTCCCAAACCTCACCTTCACCTACTGATTCTAAAGCACAGTCGAAGCTCTAATTTGTTGTTCCACCTATCAATCTGCAACTTGTTCTTTTTAACAGAAGTTGGACCCAGAAACCCTCTACGATGTGAATGAGCGCATCGGTCGGGGTGCGTTCGGGGAAGTTTTCAAGGGCGTCGACAAAAAAACTAAACAGACTGTGGCCATCAAGCTAATCGACCTTGAAGAGGCCCTTGACGAATTGGAGGACATACAACAGGAAATAAACATTCTCTCTCAATGTGACAGTCCTTATATTACCAAGTACTACGGCTCCTATTTAAAGGGTAGTCAGTTGTGGATAGTTATGGAATATATGGGCGGGGGTTCTGCTCTGGAAATCAGAAAACCTGGGCCAATTGAAGAGAGCTTCATCGCAATCATTCTCCATGAAGTACTCAAGGGGTTGGAATACCTCCACAGCGAGGGTAAACTTCATCGTGATATTAAGGGTAAGTTTTTATCTTCTATAGTTGTAATTTTTTTCTAAAAAGCCCATTTTAATGCAGTTGATAAATGTTTTTCTTTTCAAAAAATATCCTTTTGAGAAGCTTCTCTTCACTTTTTTTAAAATAGAAGGCTGTAGGGGTATTCTGACGCTAAAGTAAAAATATTGAAGGTTGACGAATATCGAAGGTAAAAGTAATACCGCTAGAGATTATAGAGGGACATAGACCTTATTCTCCACGACAAGTGTTAACCGAGCACAGTCGGAATGAAAAACAGTACACTGTGTCGGTAGGTGGGAAAGCTATTTAAAACATTACGAGTAAAGAAGTGGAAAGGGTTGTTCTACCAAAAGTGTGAGATTATTGCTCACGGCAGTTACAGAGACTGGAACAACCGTTTCTGGCATACTTGTCCTTGTCGTCGGCACATTGTCACTGCTGAAAAAGCTCACCGGTGAAGCTTTCTTGCAGGTAGTGTCCCTTATAACTGCTGCTGTACCGTTCTATCCTCCCTATTTCTGCCGTGAGCATGAGCCTGTTTTTGTCAACCAAAACTCAACCTACACTGTGCTCCCACAGAGTATAAATATCCCCCGTCTGCGCTAACCGATGAGCTGTGATCAGGTAACTGTGCTCTCAGCCGTTGGCAGACATGCCTTTTTCTCACGCTTATTTACTCTCCTGATAGCCAAGTGTACCTGTGTTAACATAGAAAGCTGGGTCTAAGAGCATGCGGCCGCCACCGTTATTACTTCATCAGTTATATTTTAAATTGTTTT